TTTTTTTCGTACTGGGGATTGAACTCAGGACCTTGCGGTTGCAAGGCAGGCACGGTGCCACTGAGCTAAATCCCTGGCCCTCAAATATATATCTGATAGACACATGTCCATGTAGATGGTATATTCTCTTTTAGAGTTTCTTGATTTCAAAAATTAAAGGCTGTGAGAAGGTCTGAGGTGAAGACACTAGTTTATCTTTGCTTATTCTAATTTGTTTCAAACTTATTTCCCCATGGAACAGGATGCATATAACACTATAAAAATTCCTCCTAGGCCAGGGATTTAGCTTAGTGGTTTCACTGCCTGCTGCACAAGAACAAGCACAAGGACCCGAGTTTGATCCCCAGTCCAAAAAATAAAAAATAAAAATTCCTCCTCAGAAGCACATTTAGCAACAAAATTGGATTCTGTCATCCTCATAAAACTCGATTCTACACCTGCCTCTTGACAAAGCCCCACGCCCTGGACAGCCCCAGGCACCACTGATCAGCATTCATGGCTGTCCTTCTTCTAGAGGACTCTCACTGCCTTGGGACAGACCTCTCACCCTGTCAGCCCCTCTCGGTCTCCCTCTGAGCTGGGCAAACACTCTACCACTGAGCGAGACCCCAGTCCCCGCCCTGTCTACCTCTTCTACCTCCCCTCTTACAAGCTCCCCGACACCTGAGTGTCCTTGCTGATGCCACCAGGCAGGGCTCCTGGAATTCCTGAGACTCCCAGCTTCCTCAGTGTTAGGGTTTGGGTCTGGGTGTCCCCAAGCCTCATGCGGTCAGAGGTGGCTGAATCTAGTGTGTGATGCTGGCACTGAGGGCGGGTGGTTACTAAAGCATTACCCTGACTGGTTGGCACCGCCCTAATCCCAGTAGTGTGGGTAACATAAAAGGGGCAGAGAGTCGCTGTTAAGGTTCCCTCAAGAGTGAACGGTTTCTCCTCTGTGCTGCCCCCTGCAACCCTGCCTGGAGCCAGCCAAGTACGGACTGAAACCTCTACACACTGAGCCAAGTGAAACCTCTCCCCTTTCACTTCGCTGTGGCGCATTTTGTCTTGGACACCGCCCTCTCCTGGAAGCGGTTCCCCAGCCTGTCCCCGCTGCTCCACCACCAGGCTGCTGACCTTGATCATGCTGTAGAGGGACTTCTCGTACTTGGTGCGGAAGATCTCCCGTATGTCAAGCATGTCCAGCTCACTGCGGGTGACCATGATGCGGATCAGGGTGTTGTCCCTCGTCCCCAGGCCCTAGAGGACAAGCAGGAGGCTTTGAGAGAGAAGACTGGAGCCTCCAGCCTCCAGTTTAGGTAGAAACACTATTTCGTCATAAAAAAAAGAAAATTAGGAGGACGAAAGGCAAACATTTAGATTCCCTTTGAGCTTCCTGTGCACCCTCCCACCTCACGGTGCTCCCTGGTTTCTCTCCTCACTTTCCCGTAGCTTTGTGACTCTGAGCCGCACACTCAGAGGTGCATGTCTGGGGACTTAGCACCATGCGTGCATTGTTCCACACTACCGGATGGATGTGGGCTTGCTGCCTGTTCCTCTAATGCAGACAGTCCCGTCAGCATTCTTAGGAGGCAAGGATTTCTGAGAGGCGCCCCCGGCCTCACTGTGGCGCACTGGCAGAGAGGACTGACATCCCACTGGCCTTTTAGGGTGGCCAAGCAGGGCCAGGAAGGTCAGAGCTCTGCGCCGAGGGCCTCCAGCAGCCAACAGATGAGTTCAATCGCGCTGGTGTGCAGTGGTAACACCACCGGTTTCTTTGTGCAGCAGGTGTGCAAACCCTGAGAAGCACAGTTCTTGGAAGCCCCGGGCGGGGCGGCCAGCTTGGAAGTCTGAGCGCCAGGAGTCCCCACAGGTGACGCCCAAGTGGTTTCCAAGTGGCCTTACCATGCACACTGTGCACACATTCTGCTTAGTTCCCGTTCTTTTGAGTGTGGGCTGCCAACTATTTGGCTGGCTTGACCAGTGCAGGCTGCCACCAGGCCCTCCGATAGGTGTAGGAGGTCTGACCGGCAGCACCCATACTTGGGGGCTCACCGAGGACAGAGCGCCACCCAGAGTAGTCCTGAGGCCACCCAAAGGGCTCCCTGAGGCCACCAGTCCCGGGGGGTGGACAGAGCCTGCCCTCCGGATCCTCCACCCGACCCCACCACGCACCTTCATGGCCTTGAAGAGCCGCTCAGCGAAGTACTCTGGGGTGCTCCGGACGCATTTCACTAGGGAGAGGGCGAGAGGCAGTGACTCCCGCCGCCCTGGGATGAGGAAGGCACGGCCGGGGCCCTGCTTGGTTCTGTTTCTTAGGAACCAATGGTCCAAAAGCAGGAAGAACCCCAGCCTCCTGACAGTCCTCGGCCCCAGGGCACCTGGGATCTACTCGCCTTCGTAACACACTCGGGGGATAAAGAAATCAGGAGCTGGGGGCCACCCTGGAGGACCACTTCATCTATCTCAGGCGGGTAAGGACTTTCAGAGAAGTGGGCCAGGTCAGGAGAATCGAGGACGGAGGTAGAAAAGGTTTTTCGTTAGATTCTGCTACACCAGAAAGGCATTGGCAATGAATCGCTTTGGATCTTGCTGGGAGAGTGGTGCAGGACTGCATACTTCAAATACAGTCAGCAGGGAACAGTGCTGGGCAGGAAGTTGAGGCCTGGGCTGTGGCCCTCCCCCACCAAGACAAGCATACAAACTACCGTCGGTGCGACGACGCAGAATCCGCGAGTGTTGGTCTTCCAAGCGACTTGGGTCGGGTAGCCCATCCCCCATTTAGCAGATGAGGCAACTGAGGCCCACGCAGGCTAAGTGACCTGCCCCAGGGTCAGCAGCAAATTTGGGAGAATTCCTGGATTTGAATCTGACTCCACACTGACTGCTCAGTTCCTCGAATTCGCCCCAGAGTACCTTGATTCAGTTTCATCTTCCGTGAGGTGAAGTCCCCACTCCTGGGGTGTGTGTCTGTGTGTGTTAATGGTGCTGGGGACGGAACCCAGGGCCTCGGGCATGCTAGGCAAGTGCTCTACCACCAAGCTCTTTCCAGAGCCCTTTTCATTTATTTTTTTGGACAGATCGTACTCAGTTGCCCAGGGTGCCTGAAATTTGCAATCCTCCTGCCTCAGCCTCTACAGTAGCTGGGCTAAGCCCAGCTCCCTGCATCTGCCCGGCACAGTAGCTCCTCCCTGCCAGGCTCTGATCGTCCTTACTCTTCCCCAACTCAGTGCCCTTCTCCCCTACCACACTGGAGAAGGGGTGGGAAGAAGTCTGTGCCTCAACTTCCTTCCCTCCCTGGCTAGACCCTCCATTCACAGCCCACGTGGCTTTCTCCTCCCCACTCCTTTCCATCCTTGCTGCCCTGCGCCCAGCTGCTGACATACCCACGGCCAGCATCAGCTTCTCAAAGTCCCCGGACAGCTCTCCCCGGATGCTGGCTTCGATCGGCTTCCCCGTGGCCTTCAGATACTCATCAAACACTGAGTCACACGGAGAGACAGGAGGTCAGACAGCGCCCGAAACACTGAGAGGGGGGACTTTGAAAGGGCAGGGTGCAGTGGCCGGGACCTGACCACCGGCAGGAAATGGGGCCTGGTGCTTTGGTGGCGGCGGCTGGGGGTCACACACGTCAGCAGCACTGTGTGGTCCTGCTTCGTGCACTGGAGAGCAAGCCTGCACCCAATTCTCCAACGGGAAGACAGGACTGGTACTTAGGCAGAGGGACGGAGCATCTGTGGACAACTTTGGTGCAATAAAAGCACTGTCTAATAAATCTGCAGGGGCATTTGGGCTGGAGATGACGTAGCTATTATGCTCCACCAGTCGGAAGGGAAAAGAAAAGGGGTCTCCTGGCACAACCCCAAGAAAGTGGCCATAGGTCTCTCTGGTTCTCACCCAATCGGAGATGCTGCTTGCTGCGATTTCCCAAGATGTAAATGAACTGGGCCTCATCTGTTCCCCATTTCAGTTCCCCTGCTTCGTACAGGTCCTAAGGGGAAGAAGTGGGACTTGACTGAAAAAAGCACTTCCCAAAGATGGGACATGCTGGCCAAGCCGCCTCCAGAACGGCTGCCCAACCCCTTAACAATCAGCAGTTGGTAGCCTCCGGGCCTTTGGATCCCTGCTCTTCTTTCCCTTCCCCTCCCCTCCCTTCCCTTCCTGTCTTTCTGGGGAAGCCGCTACTCACCCTCCATGGTCCCCATCTAAATGCCCCATATTCTCTCCAATGTCCCAGGCAGAGAACTTTTCCCCTCCCTCTTCAAGGTTCTACTAGCTTCCTGCTTCTTTACTGCTTTCATCTCCTGTCTGCTACAGAGATTTCTTCCTGCCGGTCTCCCTGCTCTTGCAGGCCTTGCAATCACAGGGCGCACGTCTCGAGTTCTCTTTATCCGCAGTGCTTTGGCCACACAGTGGATGTGCAAAACACCTAGGCCGTAGGGCACACTTCAGAGAAGGTGACTGTGCTATTAAAATACGCCTGACTCTTCCCCAGTGCTTCACAGGGGGTGTTTTAATTCAAAAAATACACAGTAATTGAAATGAATAAATAAACAATTAAAGCTCCAAAATACATCTCACCAACTTTACATGTTCTGTGCCTTTGAAAGAACCGAAATCTTTTCTTTTCCTTTTTCTTTTTTTTTTTTTTCTGGTACCAGGGATCGAACTCGGGTCCTTGTGCTTGCGCAGCAGGCAGCGAAACCACTGAGCTAAATCCTCGGCCCCTGAAATCTTTTCTTTTTCAAAGCCCTGCATCAAAGCTGGCTGGGACCAGGGTAGTTCTGTGTCTGACACGAATGACGCTCCCGCAGCCTTCCCCAGGCCCTGGCTGTCCCCTTCCCGAGGCTTCTCTACGGCGCCTCTGCTGCGCCTGTTCACCTGCACGTCCTGTTGGACCAGGTCCTCGCTCACCACATCGTCCTCCTCCCTGGTTCCCTGCACAGAGGACAGAGTCAGGGTTTCAAACACCAGAGCCAGGAGGAAGCCTGGACACCGGCAGTGCAGGGTGGGGGGCGGCAGAGCCCCAGGCACCTCCAGGACCCCAGGAGGGATGACTGGGTGGGAGGGGCTGCAGCTGTCAGTGGGCCAAGGCTGCAGGGAGCCACCTGGCCGGGCTTCCAGCGCCCCCTTCCTCTCCCCAGGGCTGGGATCCGACACAGGGTGGGGTAACCAAGGTGCTTCCGGGAGCCGATCCAGGGAGGCAGCAGGAGCCTTCTCCATCTGAGCTCCCGATGCCCGCCACAGCCCCGCGGTATCTCCAGCTCTGACACCGCGGGGCAAGAGGCCGCTCACGTGCTTCCCACCAGGGCCCACACCCTCACCCAAAGGCTGGCAATAAGGACTGGGGCTCGGGGCCCAAGAACTGAGCTCACAGGCTCCTGGTGCTTCCATTGCTCGGCCCGAGGCTGTGCCCGTCTGAGGGAGGAGGCTTAGAGACCGAGTCAACGGGCAGAGCACGCTGGGCCCTCACATGGCAGAGCCGGGCCGGCCTCCGCCCACTCCCCAGCACTGTGCCGGCACCCGAAGACACCCGGCTTGCAACCAGCAAAACAGACCGGGACCCTGGGCTCTCAGAGTTCACATCCAGGCGGCTGGGTGGGGTGGGCGGTGAGGCGGGCACAGTACAGAGGGACCCGGCACCAGGGTGCCCCTCCCAGGCCGCCCCCCAGAGCAGGGAGCAGGGGACCCACTCCCTGGCCTCTGCTGTGGGAGTGGGTGCCTGGAGGGGCCGAGGGCCTGGCGTGGACCTACCTGCAGCAGGACCACGAGCATCTTCTGGAAGTGGCCGGAGGTGTCGCCAGTGATGTCCGACTCCAGGTCTCGCTCGTAGGCTGTGGGAAGGAACGCGAGCTCTGACCTCAGCTCCCCAGGCCTCGGGGCCCAGGGTAAAGCCTCCCTGCTGCCCACTGAATGACCAGGTATCTGCTACAGATCCCGAAATCTGGTCTACGCGACAGCCAGGCAAGAGCCAGCCGCCGGCGCACAGCTGCTGGTACCCGGGTGTGGTGAAGTGGAGTCTGCCTGCTTTTCTCTGTCCGCATGCCACGCCCCTGGGCACGCCACTGTCTGGGGTCACGGCACCCTGCCGCCTTGGACTCCACATAGCACACCATCCCCCTTTTGGCTTTCGGGCCTCCTGTGATCCTGCCCTGCCCTCTACCTCTCTGGCCTCGTCTTGGCTACCAGGCTCATTTCTACTTCAGGGCCTCTGCGCGTGGGCCTGTCTGCCAGCAGGACCTTCTGTCCAGTTTTTATCCACCTGGCTCCTCATTTCCTCCCAGGACAGGCTTTCCCTGACCACCGGTCTGAGGAAGGTCCTCCCCAGTCAGAGCCTGACGTTTACCTGTTTCCTTCACTACTGAACCTCCACGATGTGTGATGATCATGTTACCCTAATTACCCGTTTATCACCTTGCTGTCTCACTCGTCTGTACATTCCAGCTGGCAGGGACTGCACTGGTACTGCCCACTACCACATCCCACGACCTGTGCCCACCCGCCACAGAGCAGGCGCTCGCTGGACAGATGGAGGACGGACGGACCAATCAGAAGGGAGAGGGGCCAGGCAGCCCTGGGGTCCCCACCCTCCCAGCATCTAAGGGGCCTCTGAGGTCCCGAATGGCCCTCCCGCCCATTGCACCCTCTTTGTAGGCTGCCACCAGCTGGTGGATCTGCTCGTTGGTCCGGGAAGCCAAGATCTCAATGAGGCACTTCTCGTCCGTGCCGATGCCCTGGGGAAGAGATGGGCCATTAGTCCGGGCAGGGCTAGGAGGCTACTAGCCACAGGGACGCCAGTGGTCTTAGGCACAGTTTGGGGCTGCTGCCCGAGACTCAAAAGACATGGCTTCTAGTCCCACCTCTGCCAGCAGCCTGTGCTTCTCCTTAAGAAGCCTGATCTCGCTTTTTTTTTTTTTTTTTTGCACCCTGAGAACAAGATGGGCCAGCTCTGGTCCGGGGTCTCACTCCTGCACATCTGCACAAACCAACACCATCTGACCAGGAAATGCAGCCTCAGTGACACCGCAGGGGCTTCTGTTAGTAGGGGAAGGCCATAGGCTTGGCTAAGTGAGACTAAACGATCTTACTTGAATGGATGACGATGACCCCAGACATCCTCCCAGGGAAAGAGACCATGAAAGTTTTAAAAATCTGAGGGGAGGTGTGGATATTATCTTTCTGGGCCTCAGTTTTCTCTTAGGCATACATATGTAAGATGCAGATGCTATTAGCTGCTCTGTCAAACTCTAAGAAGGCTGAGCAAGTGACACCACTCATGGTGGAGTCTATCAGTTCATGAGATGAATTCATGCTGCATAGATCGTCAAAGGCCACAGCAGTTATGAAGTCCCAGGTATGATCAAGGGCTCTTAGTCTCTGCCTCTTTCCTAGATGGCAATGCTTTGCCTCAACCACAGTGAACCCCGGGCTCACCCCCTCCCCCATAACCTCTCCAGGCATCTTCCTGAGCCGGGAAAGACCACCGAGCTCCTTCCCACCAAATCGTTCCCAGGCTGGTGGGCTCAGCTTGGTTCTCTCACCTCCTGAGACAACCCCCAGCCACCTGAGCCGGGTCCCACCCCGCTGACCACTTTCAGTGCACCCTGCCTGTGGTGATCAGAACACTGCCTAACGTCCCTACATCCTGCTGCTTTGGGCCATGAGCTCCTGGGGGGGGGTCCGTGCCTGGGCCCTTCCTGGCCCTGACATCTGTCCACACCTGTCTGTGTGGGTGGGGGGCACCACTCTGGGACAGGGTTTGGCCGGGCACACCTTCTGGGTGGGTTCCGGGGCTCCCTGGAGAGCCTGAACCTTCCCATTACCCATGTCCCATCCCCAACACACCCATGCACGCACACACACACACACCCACACCCACACATGCATACATGCACACAGGGACACACACACTGCTGACCGAGATGGCATCTTTAACTTCTTTGGCGTCACAGTAGGCGAGTGGCCTCATGAGGCCCACGATCAGCCGCTCGAACTTCCCTGTCAGCTCGTACTTCAGGTCAGCAATGAGGTCCTGGGGCAGGAAGAGGCGTAGCCCGAGCTGAGCTTCACAGGCACTTACTCTGCCAGGCACTGGTGCAGCTCGAAGAGTCTCCACTCCTGGAGGTGTGCGCTGCGATGGCTCCAGGACACGGCCCAGCAGCCTCAGGTAACGCCCAGAGTCCCGTGGTGGCTGACGGGCACTGCGCCCCTTCCCCAGCTCTGTTGGCCTCCCTGCTCCCATGTCCCCTTCCCTCCCACAGGGCAGACCCAGTTGCTTGTGCCCCACTGTGGCCTAACACCAGGAGTACAGTGGTGCCCTGGCTGTGTTTGAGGCTAAAGGAAGAAAAAAAGCAGGGGTGGGTGTCAGAGCCCAGAACAGAAACTTGCAGGAAGAACCTGAACGAACATCCAGGTGAGTGACAGCCTCCCGCCCTCTGGTTGCCATGGTTACCTTGCCATAGAGGGACTTGTAGCTCTGGCAGACCTCCTGCCTCTGCCTATTGCTCCGGGAGGTGATCAGCTCCAGTATGGCCTCCTTGTCACTGCCTGGAAGACAGCAGTGCACCTGCCTGCTACCCACGCTGCCTCCAGGAAGTCCTCCCGTGTGCTTCCTCCCCGGGCCACAGCCTGAGCTGTCTTCGCTCTCAGGGAGCTGGTGATGAGGAGGAGGCGCACAACCCATGGGGGCCAAGGGAGTCCCCACCGGGAGGGTCGCAGCACACAGATACCTGAGCTCGGGGGACCCCTGACCTAGTCCTCGCTGTACAGATAAAGACACTGAGGCCCAGATGGGGCAAGGTCTCCTTACAGTCTTGCAGGAGGCCCGGCTTAGGAAATCTGGGAGTCCTAACACCAGTACAGGGTTCCTTCAGCTCCAAGAAAAGTGCAAGAGAGCAGTCAGCCCCAGTCCAGGGCCGCGGCTACCCCAGGGAAGGCAGGAGGCGTCGACTGGCAGGAGGAAGCCCTAGTTCTGGAGCTGCAGGGTGGTTGGTCTGGGCTATTCTTCCTTACACCTTTTGTTGGCATGAAATGCTTTATTACAAAATTAGGAAAAATAAAAAGAGGGCGAAAAACAGGTGAGGCTAGGGCGTGGCTCGGAGTGGAGCGCTTGCCTCGTGCACTGAGGCTGTGGGTTCATCCTAGTGACAGACAGACAGACACACGCACGCACACGGAAGGGCACATTTTACCCTGCCAACCCTTCCCCACGGGGCCCGGATGGCTTCAGCCCTCCGAGACCCTTGCCCTGCACACCCTGAGTGGTGAGGGGCCGGCACCCACCGAAGCCCTTCATGGCGGTGTACAGAGCCTCCGCGTCCTGGCCAGGGTCGAAGTCCGGGTGGTCGTGGATGGAGCCCCGATATCTAGCACCCTGCAGGGAGAAGAGCGGAGGACGACGTGCTGAGCGTGGGCCTGGACTCCAGTCGGGTCCCTCGCTGTGGCCCCGGCTGAGCTCCATCCCCTGCGAAATCGAGCGCAGAGGACGCAGCCTTGGCCGGGCAGGGAGGGCTCCGCACCAGTGCCGCAGCTGCTCAAAGCCAGTGCCACTTCCCACGGCGGGTGACAGCTGCACCACCTTCACCCCTACGAGAGGTAAACAGGCCTGGCTGAGTGGAGGGGAGGAAGATGATTGTGGAGAAACCAGAGCCTCTCCTATTTTCATGGCACTGAATAGTCTACAAAGCCTTTTCACTCCCCATTAACTCTATTACTTTAACATTTGTTGGAGTGCTTAAAAAAATTTTTTTTTTTTCTGGTGAAATTCGGGATTGAATCCAAGGGTGCTCTACCACTGAGCTACATCCCTACCTCTTTTTATTTTTATTTTGAGACAGGTGTTTGCTAAGTTGCCCAGGCTGGACTTATGATCTTCCTGCCTCAGCCTTCTGAGTATCTGGGATTGTAGTTGTGAGCCACCACACTGGGTTTAAAATAATCTTGGTCTGAGATGAAGCAGTCAAGCACAAAGAAGGAAAGCCACCCTGGCATGGTGGCACACGCCTATAATCCCAGACTATGGAGCCCGAGGCAGGAGGATTCTTGCAAGTTCGAGGCCAGCCTGAATTACACAGACCCTGTCTCAAAAAACCAAGCCAAACCAAAACCAAAACAAAGAAACAAAGAAGGAAAGCCACCTGCAAAGAGTGCCCCAGACCTGACCTCTTCCCGCTCCCTCTGCTGCCCGGCTCCGCAAGCCCTGCAGCTGCCAGTGATTCAGGGTGAAGTCTTGGGCCCAGGGCACCTGGAGCCACCTCAGCTTCAACACCAAGACAAGGTGCTGCCCTGCTGGGTGTGTAAACTGAGCTCTGAGGTGATCTGAGGACAGGCTGGCAGGGCCTGAGGCCAGGAGAGGAAGGCAGGGGGCCGGGATCCATCTCAGACCTGCAACTGGAATGTGAGTGCACAATGGAGCTGCATCCTGGGGAAGTCAGACGTGGGTCAGCACCGAATGTGGGCCGGGCAGAGGCCCGGGGCTGAGGGCTGAGACCAGGCACGGAGTGCTGAAGATTTGGGGAGAAAGAGGACCCACGCCTCACGTCAGGAGCCCCGAGCCCGGTGGCAGGGAGAGCTGAGCACACACATCACCACACGGCTGTACCAAAGCCTTCCCACAGAGGCAAGGAAGTTCGGCTCGGGCAAGGACAGCAGAGGCTCCCAGAAGGAGCTGGAGAGCTGTGGTGACCCATGGATTGTGCCTCCAAAGAGTGAGGCGGGTGCAGCCTGGCAGAGTGCACCCTGCGCCCCGGTCCGAGGCCAGGCCTCCACCTCTGTGGGTTACGCCTGCAGACGCCGCCCACCCCCACCCCCAGGTATGTGTGCGTGGGCGGAGAGCTGCTATTTAAAGTCCTGACAGGAGGTGACCAGAAAGGGACACAGCCTCTTCCCGCCATCCACGGGTCCCCTGCAACCTGATCACACCCCGGCGGCGAAGGCCAAACTGCCAGCCCCAGCCCCTGGCCCAAAGCTCGGTGAGCAGCACAGCACCTCACTACGGCCAGCACCCCCTGCCTCACTTCAGAGCTGGCGGAGGAGCCTGACACCCTGAGACAGTTCGGCCCACCCAGGAGGTCAGGCTGCAGGCCCCGACCAGCCCTTGGCACAAGCCTGATTCACAGGAAGCAGCTCAGCTGGCCTCCTACAGAAGTTCACCTTTAAACCCTGCTGTTTTTCTCTGGATCCCCAGTCCAGCAACACTGGAAAAGAGGAGCAGCCAGCATCAATGGACAGAGAAAGAAGAGGGCTCAGAGGATGGGATGTCCGCTTTGCAAAGGAATTAAAAATCCTTTAGTCTAGCTTTGCCTTGATTTTTTTTTTTTTTAGACAGGGTCTTGCTATGTAGCCCAGGCTGGCCTGGAACTTGAGGTGATCGTCCTGCCTCAGCCTCCCCAGTGCTAGCATTACAGGCCTGTGTCATTATGATTCCATGGGGAACAGGGACTGTGTCATGAATAAGATAAATAACTACGTAGAAGAAGAATAAGAGTCCCCAGCATCTGGCACAGGTGCGGCAACAGAGACTGGAAAAGGCCTAGTATATGTGAGCAAGCTGAATAAATAAACACAGACACAGCAGTCCGGCCACTGAGAAGGAAGAGCTAAAGGGGAAGGTGGGTAGGTGGGGCTTCCGGGCACCACACTCCCAGCAGCGCTCTCTGCAATGCTGGGGACTCCGGCACCAGTGTCGGGGGTACCAAGAAAGATCGACGAGAAGCCAGGTCAGGTCCTCCAGGTCTGTCTGGACCCTTCTCGGGCTGCCATTGCCATGGTCCACGGCTGCCCTGCTCTGCACCTGTCCTGATCCACTGGGCCCAGCCTCCTTCCTCTCCTCCCAGGCCTCCCAAGAAAGGAGAAGGGAAAGCACCCTAAGAGCCAATGTGGCTCCATGAGCCCAAGACAGGTGGTCACACACCAAGACCACACTGCAAGCCGGGCCCACCTGGAGGGGAGTCCCAGGCTCTTCCTAATCAACCAAACTTTCTCCCTCCTCCTAGGTGCTATGTGGGCCAGGGAAGGACATGGGGAGGGACAACCGCCACGCAGCTGCACGTCACAGCGGCCACGCTCCCTGTCCTCCAATGCCAAGCATTTGAGTTTTTCCACTGCACCATTTGCCGCGTCTGCCGCACAGGCTCCTTGCAGCAGGCCGCTTTCCTCTGTGTCATTCTGACCCCATTTTCAAGACTATAAACAGGCAACAGCACTGCTCAACCCTCAGGACCCTAACGGCTTCTCACACTCACACACTCATGTTTCCAGGGCAGCCAGGACCAGAGCCACCCACCCATCCATCCACTCATCCACCATCCATCCATCCATTCACCCCTCAACACATCCATGCATCCATCCATCCACCCACCCAGCCAGGCAAGCAGCATTCCCAGAGCATCTACTGAGCGCCAGGGCAGGGAGCGCTGAGAACCCCGAGTGTGGGAGGTGTTACACGGGCAGCACAGGAGCCGGAGACAACAGACTTCCTCGGAAGCGGCCTGAGGCAGGGCCAGGTCTGCCGAGCTTACGATGATCCCAGCCCCCAGCAGAGGGCCAGGAGCAGCGAGGCTCTCCCTTCCCTCCGTGCGAGCTCCATAAACGGACGTGTGGAGGACGGGGCAGAGCTGAGTTCTGACAGTGGGTCCCAGCGGGTGGTGTCACACCAGGGAGACCCCAGAAGGAGGGAGGGATGCTTGGGAAGGGAGCCCCAGATTCCTGCACACTCAGGGCTGAGCCCAGAGTCATGGGGCTCCCTGACCCGGACAGGCCGGGCAGAGAAGCGGGTGAAACAAGCCCCAGGGCTGTGACACCGCTAGGGTGTGGGCCTGGCCTCGCTGCTCGCTCAGGGACGCCGCTCAGGTCAGAGCTGCCCACTCCCACTGTCCCCGGAGTTGGCCTTTTTTAAAAAAACTAGATTGAATCATACAATTTGCTTTTTTTTTTTTTTTGGAACCGGGGATCGAACTCGGGATCTTACGCTGTCAAGACAGTCGGCAGAACCACTGAGCTAAATCCCCGGCCCACAATTTGCTTTTTATGTAGAGCAAAAGCAGCCAAATGGCAGCACATTTCGCATGGTTCAAACTAACACCTTTCTCCAGGCTGATGGGTGCGGGGTGTCTGACTGTCTGCTGGCCGGGGAGGTGCTGGTGGCGACAGCACCAAGCTATCCGGTATTCGACTGCTCCGAGCTCAGGAACTCTGATCTAAGGACCACGAGCTGCCAGGGTACAGAGACAGAAGCGCATCCCTGTCCTTGTCCCTGGCCCTGGCCCTGGCAGCAGGCAGGCAGCCCCTTTCCCCCTGAGGCTCCCCACCCGGCCGTCGGCGTCCGTCTCCGTCTCTGTCACGGTGCAGGCGGGTGGGGGGCAGGAAGGGGCGGGCATGACAGAAACAAGCCCAGGCACGCGGAGCGATGGCCCACACTGGCCCGACCGAGGTGTTCACTTTGAGCCGAGCTTAGAGAGGAGCAGGCGCCCCCATGCTCACCGTCACTACCTGGGGCTTGCAGTGGGGTTCCATGAGCCCCAGAGGCGGCCCCTCCGGTCATGTCACTGAGGACCTGTGCACCTGCCCGGCCTCCCCTCACCCACCTGCCCCAGCCGCCTCTGGCAGTGACCCCAGCTGCCAGTGCTGGTGGTGGGGGGAGAGGAGAGAGCCGGACTTTCCACCCTGAAATATTCAGCAGGTCGCAGTGCCAGCTGGGGAGCGGCCCAGGCCCCACCCAGGCTGCTGCCGGCACCGGTGGACCAGGCTGCCCACAGCAGAGGCAGACGTCCCCAGAGAGACGGCTGCCTGCCCAGCCCCGGGCACAGCGGCCTCAGCTCTGTGGCTCCCAGCCTGGGCCTCGCCCGGCCCTTGTGCTCATCCATGACGACCTGAACACCTCATGGCACTGAGGCCACAGAACGTGTGGGGACGCTTGGACCGCAGTTTCCTCACTGAGGTCTGAGGGCCTCAAGTTCCCCTCTTCTGAAAGGAGACAGGAAGGACAGCAGAGTCATCAGAGTGGAAGAGTGGGGTGCCAGACCCGAGAAGAGGGAACAGTCTGCCGTGTGCATGCAGTGTTTGCACGCACACACTGTCTTTGCACACATGCAGTGTGCAAATGCTGCGCGCACTATGTTTACATGCATGCATGTGTGTGCAGGCAGGGGCACTAACTCTAATAGAAGCAGAGCTAACAACTGCAGGCAAGAGATCCAACTCCCAGCCCAGGGGAGGAAGCAGACCTTTCTCACTTCAGCATCCACCAGCCTTCAGCCTTCCACCAGCTCCTTCCTCCCCAGCCCCAGCTCTAGGCATCCAGTGACTTTCCCTCCCCTCCCAACCTACTGCACTGCACTCCCTCAGCACTGCGCTCCCTCACAGGCCTCGGGTCTTCCGATCCAGCTTCCCCCCCATCATGCCTCAGTCCTGGCCCCTCTGGGAAGCTCTCCTAGGCCTTCTCCTCTCTCTCACTGTGGTGGGGTGCCCTTCTGCCTGCCCAGAGCTTCTCTACTGCCCGGCCGAAAGGCGGCTGAGCCCCCTTGCGGGGTCTATCGGCCCGGCCCATGGCAGTGAAGACCACCAGTCACCAAGGCAGGTCCCGACCAGAAGTCCAAAGATTTGTACCCCAGCTCCCGGCCCCTCTGGTCCCCTGGACCTGACCCATCCACTCGGCTCATCTAGTCATGCGTGAAACTGCCTCTCAGGAAGAGCTCTGTGCGACCTCGCTCGGAATATGGGGAACGGTAAGTGTTCAGTCCTGGGGTTCTGCCCATGACCACAGTCACTCTCTCCTGGCCAGAGGCCACTGTGCAGTGCACTCCTTGGAGGCTGGCAGGGAGGCCGCACTAGGGATTTTTTTTCTTTATCTTCAGTCCTGGGCATTGAATCCAGGGCCTTCACATTAAGCTACATCCCCACTGCTTTTTGGAGTTTTTAAAATTTTGAGACAGGGTCTCACTAAGTTGTCCAGGGTGGGCTCTATCCTCCTGCCTCAGCCTACCAGAGTGCTGGGACTTCAGACAGGCACCAGCACAGCGGGCTGGGATAGGGCTTTTCTCAGGGTACTGGGCCTACATCCCACAATGCACTGCTCTGCTCCAGCTATGAGACCTTTTACGCCCTGGTCCACTGAGCGGCAGGTCATGGAAACAGGGATAGAGCTCCGTGAGCAGAGTTCAGGCACCTCCGAAGGGGAGTGAGACCCCGAGGAGGTAAGGAAGCGTCTGCCCTCCGCTTCACGGCCAGCAGTTCTGTGGCTGGAGCACGGGGAGCGGGTCTGAGTCAGGTGTCCCTCAGTCTTACTGTCCCTGCCAACGCCATCCGCTGAACACACCCCTTCGTGAGGCCAGCAAGCGCCACTTCAGACAGACCCTGACTCAGAGGGGCCTCGGCCACACACATGCAATGGCTCTCTGACTCTACTCCCTGCAGAGTTAGACAGCCTGAGAGCACAGCCGGGGAATTTAACCCCAAGTGGGTGCAACACGGACAGCTCCCAGTCCGAAGCAGCGAAGGCCTCACTGCGCTCTTGTCGGGTCAGCACCCTTCCTTCCTGGGAACCGCTCCTGGCCCTGCAGCTCAGGGGAGACAACCCCAATCTCCTAGCTCCCAGGAAGAGTGTTCCCAGGCCCAGCCAAGGAGCACAAAATGCCGATGTCCCCAGAATCACTGGAGATAAGTTACACGCTCGGTAGCCCCCCGCCCCGCCTGCTCTGACAGGAGCGGAAGCCCGGAGCTGCTGGTGACTGGTGTGTCAGGGAAAGAAGAACATAACCAAGGACGAAGCTGCCCAGGGGAAGCTCATTCAGGGAGACAAAAAACAGACTGTCTGGGCCCCTGGATGCAGTCAGAGCTGAAGTCCTGCACTTCTCAGTCATGTGAGCAGCGTGCAGCCTCTTCTGCTTGGGATATTGCAGTCGTTGGTAGCCCAGAAAAGAGGACCTGAGACCCCTGACCCTTTCAGGCTGAAGGTGTGAGAGGTCTCCTGGGTGCCGGGCCCAGGGAAGGCAGAACACAGCCTTGGGAGAGGGGGCCCCTTACCTGTGCTGGTCTGGCCATGGTCTCAGGTTCTGCCGCAGAAGCCACTGTGGAGAAGAAAGAGTCCATGAGCTTCCGGCGCGCTCCACTCGGCTCCTCTCCTTCCCTCTCCCACTCTTTCCAGCTGCCTACAGCTCCCAGGTGGAATCACACCCGAGGCCTGGCTCGAGGCCAGGTGCACTGTTTGAGAGGACACTGGAGATAGAGGTGTGGGGAGCAGCACTGTGCACTGGGCGCTGGATGGGAGGAGGACCCGTGGGTGCTGGGAGGGTGTGAATGTGACCCTCCCACCTGCACTGCCGCACCCCCAGGGACTTCCCGAAGTCTCCGCAGTCCTCACACCACCCTCAGGGGTCCTGTCCCCCTCCTCACAGACAGGAAACTGAGGCTGGGTCATCACAGAGAGGGCTCTGAGGCCACACGGCTTAGAACTGAATTCAGCAATCCCCTCGAGCCGCAGTCCCTGGCGTCTGCACTGAGCCGCCCTCCTGCCCACCAGGCCAGCTTCAGAGCCCAGCAGGGAGGAGATGCAGGGCTCCCAGCCGCCCCTCGAGGTCTGCGATTCCAGCCTAAGGTCAGTGCTCCCCCATCTGCTCCACCAGGCCCTGCTCCAGGCAGAAGACACAGCAACAAATGAAAAAGATTCAGGGCCGGGATTTAGCTCAGTGGTTCCACTGGCTCCCTCAAAAGTGCAAGGACCTGAGTTCAATCCCCGGTACCAAAAAAAATTGAAGCCCGGCGTGGTGGTGCACACCTGTGATCTCAGCATTCTGCGACTTGCTAAGCTGAGGCAGGAGGATCACAAGTTTGAGACCAGCCTGGGCAACTGAGTGATTTTGTAAGACCCTGTCTCAAACCAAAAAATAGAACAGGAGAAGATCGCCAAGTGCACCTATCAGGCTATGAAAGGAAGTAGGAGAAAAGGAGAGCTGGGTCAGGGCCGGGACAGTGGCACCCCAGGCACTGGTCAGTAGGGACAGCAAGGGCCAGGCGTGGCAGAGGCGGCCACAGGGAAAGCAAGGAGGGCGGCAGAGGACCACCGTGAGGACTGGCATTTTCCGATGGGACGAGGCCATGATGGTAAAACGAGACTAGACGCAGGATCTCAGGGCACATGGGAGGGAACGGGGTAAGGGTGTGGGAGAGTTTCCAACGCGGGGGCAGGGGCACGGTGGGTGCGGCACCCACAGACACCCAAACGGGAGTCACCGTGACCGAGGTGGAAAGGGGAAGCGGGCTGGGGTGGGACTGGCCTGGGGCTCACTCAGCATGAAGGCAAAAGACGAAAGAGAAATGGCCCTCGCAGGATGAGAGGAGAAACAAAGGGCTGCCGCTCTGGAGTTTTCACAAGCCCGTGAGCTGATCTTTTTAAACATGTCTGTGTGTTGCTTTTCCTTTCTCTCAAAGCACAACAGATTGAACCCAGGGAGCACTGAGCTGCATCCCCAGCCCTTTTTATATTTTACTTTGAAACAGGGTCTCACTAAGCTGCCCGGGTGGTCTCCAATTTACAGTCCTACTGCTTCAGCCTCCTGAGTAGCTGGGATTGCAGGAGGAGTCATTGTGCCCAGCTGTGTGTTGCTTTTGAAAAGTAAGGAGAGCAAACGCAACCCCCAAGGAGCAGAATGAAGAGGTACAAGGGAGGACAGAGTTGTCCCAGCTTGGGGCTTCGCAGATCTCTCCACGCCCTGCCACACTGAAGGAAGACCTTGGAGACAGCAGCCCTGCCAGGCTCTGCAGTCCCACTCTGTCTCTGGGGTCACAGGACAAGGTGTGACACAGCAACAGACTGTAGATTTTAGAGGCAGACAGACCTGAGCTCGAATGCTTGCTTTGTCACTTATTAGCTATGTGACCAAGGGCTCACTGCTCCCTCGGAGTTCAAGGTTATCTCAAGGGCTAAACTGGGCTTTCCCAGTCCTTGCCGCATAGGCTGCTGGAGGATGAGCTGTCACTGCCCCTCCCGGCCGGTCCTTCCGGCTAAATGGTCCCCTGGGAGCTAAGGACCAGGCTTTGTCATGTTTGGCCCAAGTCCTGCTACTGAACACAAGTCCAAGTCCCCTGAATGCAGTCAGCAGAGGACAGAGAGCAGCGCGCAGTGCAGCTCTGCTCTGCTCAGCTCAGCTCAGCTCAGGAAACCCTGCTGTTGCCCTGGTGACTAGCTCCCCCCCCCCCCCCCCCTGCCCCGCCACAAATGTGCAGCTGTCCCCAGGAAATGGAAACCGCACCCCTCGCAGTGTGTGTGTTTGCTGGGGAACGGACATCTACCCTACGACTGGGCTGGGAGCCAGCTCCAGGATTCCCCAGGCCTGGGGGTCAGTGGGGCCGGGGCAGAGGGAACCCCAAGGCTAGTAGGGAGACAGGAATGGAATGAGGCCCCAGACGGCGGCTGACACCGGGAGTGAGGGCCGAGGCTGTCACCAGCACCCTCTGCATGCTCCCCTGGCTGCGTTGCTGGGAACTTCAGCTGCTGGCTGCCACCCAGGCCCGTCTGGACGAGAGGCCCTTTTGGAGAGATGCGGCTGAGAAGAGGGGCCTCGAGCCCTTGGGAAACCGGGCTCAGCTTAGGGTGCAGTTTCTGTGTGCCTGACGTGAGCACACGTCTCGTGGAGAGCAAGCTGCTTCCAGAACATGTTCAGCCGACAGCTCAGGGACGAGCTCCTTGCCAAGGCCAACAGCCCCTACTCCAGGACTCAAGGCTCTGGAGCGGATCACAGATGCTGCTTGCATTCACCGGCCCTCAGTGGCCTCCCAGAGCAAGCCAGCCCAGCCTCTCACTGGGGCCGGCTGCTTCTGCATGCTGGCCTAGAGCCCCAGCAAGGCCTAGTGATCTGCTACCCCAAGCTCCTCTTTCCTGAGGCGGGACAAAGGCATCTCAAGGAAGAGGGCCTCGCCAGGGGCCAGGGCAGCAGCCAGCACCTCAGCCGCGAAGTTCCAGGTCCCAGTGAGCCCCATGTGGCCGGACCCTGGCTGCAACGGGACAGCAGGAAAAGGTGCAGGGTTTGGCCCTGGCCTGGCCCACACGGCCTCAGACAGCAGGATTCCTCTCGGGGCTCGGCCCTTCATGGAAGAAGGACAACAGAGCTCCCCACTGTGGGAGAGCCAGGGGACCCGAGAGGCCTTGACAGACCTCAAGCGGGGCTTTCACACGGCTCTCCCCAGGCCGTGGATCCCCTCCAGCCCTCGCGAACCGCACATCATCTGTCTCATCACCTCGGTGGAAACAGTGACCCGAGGTGGGCAGGCAGGGCCTCTTCTGCAGGAGCCCTGGACGCCCGAGCGCTCATCACGGTTCACCCAGATCCATCCGGGGTGGAGTCTGGGGAGTGCAGTGCTGTGCGCCCTCCCATGGCGCCCCTTCAGCCCACGTCCTCAGTTTCCTTCCTGCCCTTCGGATTCAGGACTGACTCGAGGAAGAGCAGGTCCCCACTGCCCTTCCCCGCGTCTCCTGGTTCATACAAAGACACTGGCCGTGATGCACAGGGCCCTCCCCAGGGCCCCCCCACCCTGTGCGGTTTTGTGACAATGTGGTGACAAACGCAGGCCTCAAAGTCCAGGTCTCCGAGTTCAAACCCTGACACTGCAAACTCCTGGCTCAGGACCTCAGCGAGTTATGCAACTTGCCCCTGCCTCAGTTTCTTGACTTCTCTGAAAGACGATCTTGGAACATTTTTGCAGGTTACTGGAAGATCATGAAAAAGAAATTCATCCAGGTTTTTGTGGGACAGTAAAATATCCCACCCTGAATGCATGTATTTCTTTGGCATGTTTTGAGTTAGTTTTTCAGAGAAACTGCAGACCTCTGCAGACACAAGACAGGGCCTACAAATTCATCCTTTTATTAAAAAAAAAAAAGAAGTGAACAGCGGATGCAGGCGTCTTCACCTGAGGGGTGATGTTGCTGTAGGTTTTTTTGTTTTGTTTTGGTGGTGGGGATTGAACCCAGAGTCTGCACTGAGCTACATCCCCTGTCCTTTTTATTTTGGAACAGGGTCTTGCTAAGTCTCCAGATTGCCCAGGCTGGGCTTGAACTTTGATTGTCCTGCCTCAGCCTCCGGGAGTGCTGGGTCACAGGTGCACACCACTACACCCAGCCAGAGAGATGTTTTCATAGAGGACCGGTTTGGGGTTTGACACCGGCCCAGACAGAGGACCGCAGGTGGGATAACCTGGAGACCTCATTTGCAAATCAAGACAACCCCTGCTCCCTGGGTCCTCCGAGTCCCTCAGAAGCCCAGGCCCCGTCCCTGTTTAGCTCTGCAGAGGTTCTGGCACCTTGGTGAACTCTGTGCCTGGCTCTGAGCTTCTGCACATAATCTGCACACCGTGTGTTCTTATCCCTGTTAATCTCTGTGCTGTCAGGTCACCACATAAAGTTACAGGGATTTTAGGGGAAAGTGTGCATTCAAAGCTGCCTGATCCCCCTGTGCCTCGGTGTGCAGAGGGATGTAATCTGAGCCAGTCCCGCCTTGCCCCCCGGTCTTCCGTGGTGCCCTTTACACCAGCCCCCTTTGCTCCCACCTCCAACACACACCCACAGTTCAAAGATCTTGACAGTGCTTCTTGAACCTGGGGACTTTTTCAAAATCACCAAAGGCCAACTCCCAGAGGCCGACTCCACGGTTCTGGGGTTAGGCTTGGGCTCTAGTCATTTCTAAACTTTTCTTGGGTGATTCTGACGCACAGCCAAGGAAGCTGAGCACCAGTGTCCTCTCTGGGATTCAATGCTCCCCCTCCCAGGAAGCCAGGGCAATGACTCTCTCCCTGCTTGGGACCCCTCAGTGCTCTGAGCCCCTCACCTGCCTGGGTGTGGTGAACTTCAGCAGATTTGCTGTCCTCCTTAGATGTCGTTAGGTGGAGGCTGCCTGCCTCTGGAGAACTGCAGGAAAAAGTCCATACTTCAGAGCAAAGCTTGCAGGTTATCGGACTCTAGGCTCTGGGCCCTGGAGACTATTTATAGCCAGGAAGTGGTGGATCACTGCGCTACTGCTCTCGCTCTGTCCCCATCTGGTAAAGGCCCAGTTGGCTCCCCTGCCCCTCGGGTGGAAAAACCAGTTTTGGCTCTCTGTGCTTACTCCTTTCCATATACACCTGCTGCTTCTCTTTTGAGTGGGTTATTAGCATCTGTCAGGGTCTGCTCTTTGATTCATTAGAATAAAATGTGTATTCAGCACATGTCACTTCCATATCTGTGTGAGATGTGACAGTACCCTTTTTGAAAAATTATTGCCTAATTACTGCATATGCTTCTATGCTGCACCCCTAGAGAGGTTAAATACTTCCCCAGCAAGTGCAGGTGGCTCTTAAAGATTGTTGGCCGAAATGTACTGAGTGCCTGTGAAAGTTTTCTTTAGTGACATCCTTGAAGAGTCATAGGAAAAACAAAAAAGGAATCATCAAGCTGTTTCTTCCTTATTCTGCAGCCAGGACAGAAAAGAACTTACAAAGTTAAGTAACTTGCCCAACTCTCTAAATAAAATTACTGATTAACCTGAGATTCATTTTTCAGTAAATACCTATTGACCAGGCTGTGGAATTGTGCCTGTGATCCCAGCACTCAGGGAGCATGAGGCAGGAAGACCACAAGTCCAAGCCCTGCCCAGACAATTAGCAACACCCAGTCTCAAAATTAAAAATTTAAAAGGGTTGGGGATGTAGCTCAGTATGAAAGCCGTTGGTTCAATCCCCAGGATCGCCAGGACCACCAAAGGAAAGAAAAACAAACATTGAGTAAACAAGGTTCACCGGTAGGAATTGGGGTAGAAGAGAAAACAAGACAGACCAAGGGCCAGGGATGTAGCTCAGTGGCACCGCGCCTGCCTGGCAAGTGAAAGGTCCTGAGTTTGATTCCCCATACCACACAAATAAATAAAAGACAGACCAACTCTCCCACCCCGACGAGGCTGGCTGTCTAATACAGCAGCTAGCAACATTCTTTGGAGCCTATATCCCACCAACGACAGAAGGAAAAAAGTCTATCATGGTAAACAAAAGTACACTTTAAAAACGTGCTATGAAGAGTACTTGCAGGAGTCTGAAAGTCCCCTCCTTCCTCAGTGCCTCTGGGTGTCCATTCCACTTTGGAGGCCTGGCCCAGGACATCGGGACCCTCCCTAAGCCGGGGTGCTGCTCAGGGGTGGAGCGCTTGCCTAGCACTCATGAGACCCTCGAATCCCCCTCACACACAGTGTAGACCCTTTCTTTCCTTTTCCTGTTTCTGACGGTTTCCCCCAGTAGACACACAGGTGCCGCCCATCTCCCTCCAGGAGCCCGGGCTGCTGAGCAGGGCAAGGTCTGCCCGGCCGGGGCTGAGGTTTCTCAGAGAGCAGTGCCTTTCCCAGCCCTATCCAGAGCCATCGATACCAGACTGGAAGGGACCTAAGAGGTTGCTGGCTGCCCTGGACCGGAAAGGGTCTGCCCTGGGGTTGAATTCCAGCTCGGGTTACTTCTGCAAGGGGCAGCAAAGTGTTTTGTGGCCCGCAGGCCTGGAGCCTGAGGTGCCATTTAGTAGCAGTGTGGCGCAGGGCAGGTCTTTAGCCTCTCTGCAGTCTCACAGGTAAGTAAGACTCAACTCAAGAGTTGTGAGGGTGAAACAAAGACACGTCCAGTGCTTAGAAGAGGGCACGGCATGCTAGGAAGCTCCACGCTAGAGGTAATAACTATTGCTACTTCAATAACTATTGCTACTTCTTTAGCGTTCATGGCTGCAAAATGGGTTACTGTGGTGACAACACCTAACTTACCAAGGATACAGCCAGCCCCCGGTGAGTTGTACACGTTCAACAAATAATCACGGTAACGTTTCACAGTTATCACTTGCTCACTTGCGGAGCCCCAGGACACAGGTGCTGCAGAAGAGGCCCCCGGGGCCCAGGTCACCTGTGCTCTCAAGCAGCACATCCTCCTGAGCTCAGTTTCCAAGGTACTTTCCCATCTGTCACCTCGCTGCCTCACCAAGGTAACAGTCTCAGCCTCCTCCGACAGAAAGTGACCTGAGGGATAAAGAACCCACGAAGCTGGGCATGGGGGCGCACGCCTGTAATCCCAGCACTCTGGGAGGCTGAGGCAGGAGGGTTTTAAGTTTGATCCCAGTCTGGGCAATCTAGAAAGACCCTGTCTCAAAATGAAATAAACGAGCTGGGAAAGTCCTCAGTTCAATCCTAGGACCACACAAAAACAAAAACACAAAAGCCCACAAACAGTCATTCCTCCTAGCCAGTGTCTATGGAGGCTTCTCAAGGCCAGAAGAAAAGGAAACCGGGACAGGTTTACTGGCCTAGTGATGCCCCCACCCCTGCAACTTCCTCTCCTCTAGGCGGGAGGATGCTCAGGAATCAGTGTAGAGACCACATCCTGTGCTCTGCCCCACCCAGGAAGCATTTTAGAGAGGCTGGGTGTGGAGAGACGGGGACTCCGCCGGGTCCTCCAGGAAATGCCAGAAGCGTGCAGCAAGCAGAGCCCTCCAGACCCAACCCTCTCCCTGGCTGGCACCTGTGCACAGGTTCAGTCCCCAGAGAGGAAGGGACTGAGGCCCACAGGGGCGGGTGTGCCAGGGCACGGGGTGGGTAGTGACGGCTGAGGCTGGGCTGGAGCCTGGCGCCGCAGTGCAGATGCTCCTGACGCTGGCACCTGTCCAATACCACAGCACCCCAGCCCACCCCACCCCAGGGTCTGCCTGAGAGCCCAGCCCTGGACTCTGGGCGGCCCCTCCTCTGCACTGCACATCAGCATTCCACCTGGCGACAGATATCCCTTCCCCAGAAACAAAGCTGCATCCTGGGTCCCAGCAGAAGGTGCCTTGGGAACAAAGGCTGGCAAGCAGAGGGAGGGGAGTGAGTGACCGCCACAGCTGCAGAGGGGGTGAGGGCCTTCGTCTCCCTCCCTGCCCCGCCCAACTCCCAGAATCCTAAATCGTGAGACAGGTGAGCACTAGGTCATCTGCGGAGGAACAGGCAGCCTCTTAGCACTTTGCTGTGGGTATGGAGGGCTGAGATTCGGGGTCTGTCCAGGGACCCCAGTCCACCTGGGCTGCAGCCCCACTTCCCACCAACCCCTGGCCACTGTCCTCTGCATGGCCAGCTAAAGCTCAGGGTTCCTAGGGGCTGAAACTGTGGCAGACACTCCAAAGGGCTAAGCAGGTGAGGGTACCCGAAGGGGTCAGCAGTGACCCCCTCCCCAGCTGAGCACTGAACCCAGGGCCTTTGCACTGAGCTAACCCCAGACCTTTTTCATTTTTAAAAAAATCTTGAGACAGGGTCTCCTTAAGTCACTAAGTTATTCAGGCTGGGTTTGAACTTTGAATCCTCCTGCTCCAACATCCCAGAGTGCTGGGCCCACAGGTGTGTGCCACCATGCTCCGCGTCAGGTGCAGTGCCGGGTGTAAGGTGAGGGGAAGGGCAGATTCCTGGGGAAAGAGAGTCCTCTCACAGATCTGAGCTATATGTCCAAATTTGGAATTGTCGGGGAAGACCCACCAGAGCTCAGACAAAAGAAGGGGAGGGAGGAAGCAGTGGCCAGATCAGTCTTCCCAGAGGGTTCCTTTCCCGTGTTTTCCCTCCTAGGGCCTACAAGGGCTGGCCCAGGGATTCCAAACCTGCCATCAAGAGCCCCAAACCTGTAATGTGTGCTGGCAGCTGACAGATAAATACAGCTTTGTAGCCATTGTCTCCTCCAAAAGGGGCCAGGTTCACCAGCTCTGTGAGGAGGCTCAGACAGGGAGCTGCTCAAGGTCACTGTGCAAGCTGTTGCCGGAGCTGGGATCTGGAGCTCGGGCATTTTCCGCCTATGCTGGCATTCTGGGAAGCACCCGGAGCCCCCAAACTTTGGGAACGCATAGATTGCACGTGGAACAGTCTAGAAGGGTAGAGCACGGGAGAGCCACAAGAGCCCTTGGAACCTGGGTGTGGTGGGCCTCGCCTGTAACCCCAGCTACTGGGAAGGCTGAGGCAGGAGGATCAAAATTTCCAGTCTAGCCTGGGCAATTTCATGTGACCCTGTCTCAAAATTAAATACAGAAAGAAAAAAAAAAGAATAAAAAAAAAAAAACATTAAATACAGAAAAGCGCTGGTGGTGGAGCGCTCGGCTGTTAGCCTTGGCCTGGGTTCAATCCCCAGTGCAGGGCAGGGCGGGGCCCTGCGATTCTCCTTCAAAGGGAAGCCAGGGTGAGGAGAGGGGTGGGTGTCCCAGTGCCGCTCCTTCGTCTGTCGGTCCCCACACAGCAGGCGCCCCACAGCAAAGCCGGCGCGCAGCTAGGATTCGCTTCTCCGTGCTCTCCGTCTTCAGCCTCGGCCACACTCTCCGCCGAGGGTCGCTAACCCCGGATCTTCAGTCTCTCCAGCCCCCAGATCAGGCTCGGTAGCCCGGGCCACACCCTCCGCAGAGCCGGGGTCCCTCTCCGCCCCGCCCCCGCCCGACCTGGCACGCGTCGCCCTCGGTGGCCGCGCCCTGCACCCCGCTCCCCGCGGACTCCACAGCATGCGCCCCTTCCCGGGCCCGCAGGGTGCGATCGCCGACGCCCGGGCGCCTCGGCGGGTCCCCGGGGCCCTCCCCGGGCCGCAGCCCACTCACCGCGAAGGGCTCTCGCTGGGCGGGCAGACTGGAGCTTCGGGTCTGAGCCCGTTAGCCAGGCGGAGCCGCAAGGGGGCGGATGCTCCGCGCCGGCCACGTGGCGGGTCCGGGCCAATCAGGCTCTCCCACCCCACCCCCCGCCCCCGGGTTCGTCGCGTTCGAAACCTTAGAATGTCACCAGCCGAGGGCGGGGGACCCCGGAACCTGGAACCGCGGGGAGTTCTCAGGCCCCAAACCCGAGATCTGGAGAGGGTAGGGGGGATTTGGCCAAGGTTCCCGGCCTTCCAGGGCTCCTGACTCCCAGATCTGTACACTTTCTCCCAAATTCCTGCGACTCGCCAAAGCTTTGTTGAGAAACAGAACATTGAACTTTGCCAAAATTGAAGCCAAGCAAGCACTTTATCTTCCTGATCAGATTTCATGCCTCAACAGCCCAATCGGTCACTGGCATTATTTACCCTCTTTCCAGGGAAGGAGAGTCTGGAGGAGACGGCCCTTGACCGAGGTCGCACAGCTAGCAGGCGGTGGAGCTGGGACTCGAACCTGTGCCAAGTGACTCCAGAGGCCGCTTACCCTTGCCTGGCTCTGGGGACCGCGTTGCTGGGGGTGGGGGTAGAGGGCAGGCAAGAAAACCAGAAGCTGTAATCACAGCGGTGTGTTGAAAAACAAGTTCTTTGGGAATCCAGAGGGAAGAGAGAATTTTTGTCCCCTTCTCCGGGGGATTTGTAGTTTTCCCAGAGGAGGCAGAGATGCATTAAAGGTAAGGACCTGCATTCCTTGCCCCCTCAGAAAGCCTGGTTTTGTGGAAAGACGTCCATTCTAGCTTTAACCCTGAGCTGCGAGCTCGGCTGCTGGGTCTCCTCCCTAAGCCAAAAATTTAACCGCTCTGATTTTCAGTTTGCTCATCTGAGACGCAACGATACTCAGAGCTTTTCCACAGCATCACTCTCAGAACCTGCTCGGTACTAGCTCAGGAAACTGTAAACTTCTAACACAGAGATTTGGTTGACAAATCTGCCCTTCCTGCTTTTTGTTGCCCCAACAAACATTTGTCGGAGCTGCCAGGCTCCGAGGTGGAGGTGGGAGAACACCTGGCCTGCCCTCGTGGAGTGTAACTCTCAGCAGAGAGAGGCCTCCACTGTTGGAGGAACTTCTGGTGTGGTAATACAGAAACTATGACGGCTGGACAGGTGCGGCCAGCCCAGTTTGGCCTCTGAATGAGTGATGTTAAATTGCAACCAGCAAGGAGAGTGGACTCCAGTGGGGAGAGGGAGTAATTCATGTCATCATCATAAGATGAGGTCTGCTGCAGGCTGAAGCAACAGCTTCAGAGACAGAGTAGGAGGGGCGGCCCAGTGAGGGTGGAGGCAGGGTCTCCTCAGCATCATGAGAGCAGCTAGCATGCAATGAGCGTTTCCTAAGAGCCAGGTACTTCCATGTTTTGTTTTGTTTTGTTTTGGTACCAGGGATCGAACTCAGGACCTTGCGGTTGTGAGGCCAGTGCAGTGCCATGAGCTAAATCCCCAGCTGTAAGCATTTTACTCACAATGTCACATTTAGGCCTCGTAGTCCATTTCATAAATACCTATTCAGCACCTACCATGTGTGGGGCACTATTTTAACAAAGATCTCTGCCCTCCTGGAGTTTGCATCCCAGCACAGGAACTTGAGGGACTTTGTCTTTTACTCTGAGTTATTGGGAAGCTTCGGCAGAGGTGGAGCAAAGGAGGGACGTGGATGTGCAACCACCGTGTCTGTCCGGGTCCAAAACACTTTCATCACTGCGAAAGGAACCCACACCTGGGAAGCGGTGGCTGCCCATCCCCTCACTCCTCCGGTCCTAGCAACAGCACTTCGCTTCCTGCCTGTCTGGATGTAGGCATTTTGAATATTTCCTATCAGTGGACTCCCACAGTACGAGGCCTTTGCTGTCTGGCCTTTCTCATAGCATGGCTTTGAAGTTCATCCATACTGTAGCATGTATCCAGACTTCATTTGTTTTTATGGCTGAGTAATATTCTATTGTGTGAATATACATTTTGTTTATTCATCTGTGGATGGAATTTGGGTCATTTCTACTTTTTGCCTCTTGTGAATAGTGCTCCTGTGAACTTTTGGGAAAAAATAATTGCTTTCGGTTCTCTTGGGTCTTTACCTAGGTCTAAAGTTGGTGTGGCGATATGGTAATCCTATGCTTAACTCTTTTTTCCTTGCTGGGGATTGAAGTTGAACCCAGACTCTGTGCCTGCTAGACAAACACAGAGGGTACAACAGGACTCTGCATTGAACTTTGCGAGGAGCCACCAGCCAGGTTATCACAGGGACCGCACCATCTGATACTCCTAGCAGGGCTCCAGGTTCTTCACATCCTTGC